AAGCCATTTCGATGCAGCGTCTCATTCCCTCGGGGAACCATGGTTACATACGTAACCTAGAGACGTTCTTTGTTGGTGTTTACGGTAGGGGTGGTCGATATACCAGCAAACACAATAAACCGGAAGATTATGGATTTTGATCATCTCTATTGCAGTTATTCTCTCATGACATTTCCGTGCTGTGCCGTCATGAAAGCTTGTGTGTTTTTAAGTGCTGTGGTTTAAAACATAGTGATTTTAAACTGTTCAGTGCGCAATAGCAGCTGAAGTTTTGGTATCTGTGTGCACTGTCTGAGAGACAGTTTGTGTGCACACACCTGAAAAGCTTGCACATAAAGACGCTTCTCACACAGCATGAGTACGGAACTGAACTATTTTTGGCGCCTTATTGTGCTTGAATGGTCAAATACCCACAAGTATTTGTCGAAATGCCCGTCTTTGGGAGTATCCTTGTAAACACAGACATTTTAAGTCTTAAAAGGCAGTTATTTTTTTTGGTAATATAATATGTAATGTAAGTCCCAGGTGTCTCCAGAATGTGTCTGTGAAGTTTCAGCTCAAAATACCCAGAGGGGAACAGCAGCTTATTTGCATTTAAAGATACAAGCACAAAAAGAGCGTGTTTCTGCCTCCACTCAAAACAGGCATTTTCAAAATGATATAATAAATGATCTGTGGGGTATTTTGAGCTGAAACTTCACAGACACATTCTGGGGACACCTGGGACTTTCACCTGGGACCGATTCTGCAAACGGCTTGTTCTGAGACACTACTTATGATTTATGGGGATTAAAAAAAGGAGTGGGTGGATTTTTATCATTATAGGGTAGTTGTATACACACACTGCCAACACATATTTATGTTCAAACAACACGTAAAAGTGAATTTTGCATAATAGGTGCCCTTTAAGTGAACATAAACAGTTGAGAAAGAAAACGCGCGAGTTTCAATATAATTGGATCCGTGCATTCGGTCTTAAAGTGACAGCAGCCTAATAAACCTGGCGCTGCCTCTGTCAATAATGTTAATCAAACAACAAAAGACAGAAAATCTCTCGCTGCACTTGAATGAATCACTTTTGCATCTTTAAATCTATATTTAATTTACACAGTAGTGCTTTATTTATTTATGTATTTATTTTTTTGTAGGTGTATTTCATTTCTGTCATTGTTCTATTGTAGTTAATTTTTTTGTCCTAATGCTTGCAATTTGTTTCTTGGTTCTTATTTTAGCACTGACTGTTTACTTTCCTTCAGTCAGCTTGAGTGATTATATATATATATATATATATATATATATATACATCTATCTATATATAACTTAAAACAAATATAACTATATCATGACATATATCATTACTGTGAACTGAAATTACTAATTGTGATATAAATTTTGCCCATATTGCCCACCCCTAGTTCAAGGCTCCATGAAGAACCTTTAACATCCATAGAGCCTTTCCATTGAACAAAAAGTTATTTATAGTAGAAAAATGTTCTATAGATTATTAAAATGTCCTTTGCATTAAGAAAAAATAGCTATTTCCAAAACAGAACTGAACAACACAATTTTCCTCTTGGTAGACGGACTGATTTTTATGCCTTGATTATGTACTTCCTCGTGCAATTTCTTTCACTGAATAGTGCATACAATAAACTACAAGCATAATTTAAAGCATATACAGCATCTCCAGAGCCCTGTGGAAAAGATCACTGTAACGGTGGCCAACTTTTTCAATGCTAATCCCATCTGTGATTTGTTTCTGTGTGAGCAGGAAAAGCGTAATCCCAGAACAGCAGTGCTAATCTCACACAAAGATAATCTGACACAAAATTGAACAGCTCTGAACTAATCCCATCACATTCAAGGAGAAGCCTACATGCAACAGTCACAAAAGAGATTTCACATCTACATTTTTTTTTACTATATTCCTCCAATCATACTTAATGATATTTCCATTACCCACAATTTAATTTCCCTGACGGAACGGGTCATAACTGAGAATCCAACTTCACAGTTTAAGATATCAAAACCGAGAAACAGATAATGCTACTTCCTGTGTCCATTTCTCATTCGCTGACACGTTTTCCGTCTCTGTCCCCGGTTATCTGTTTTGACACCCTCTCCACTCTATTACCTGGAAAAGCTCTTAGACATTTAATAAGGGACACTTGATGTGTCCAGACGTCTGTGCTGCGGTAATGCGAGACAGGTAGTGAGAACGAGAGGAGGGGGATTGAGGAATTAGCTTCGGGTCTTATCCTTTCTGAAGTGCTGTAATGTCGCACTGAGGTACTTAACGGGTATGACAGTAAGTAGTTGTTCTTCATGCTGTGCTATTATCATATTTATTTACAGCTTGTTTGAGCATGCCAGTGTGGGACAATGGTATCATCTTCACCGACTGACAGATACGGCAACATGCTACATGACATGACAGTTAAATTCTGGTAAATATTATAGCATGCATTTCACTTCCACACAATGCATTTGCAGTGCAGATGACCATATTTCACCCACAAATCAAGAGGGGGAAAAAAATAGATTTTTTTTTTAAACCTATAAAATGAAATTAAGCATAAAAATAAATGTGATTAATTACTGAATTATTTAATATGTAATAATTATTTATTGAATAAATAAAATACATGGATTAAGAAGAAAAAAAATCATTATTTTTTTATTTATTGTGACTTTTTTATGCATCATTACTAGCCTACTGTACTAGATAAAATCATTACTGTAATAAAAAATATATATCTTATTTAGATAGTAACGTACATTTGCTATTATAATTGTTGGATGAAATTTAAATTATGCTGATTATTAAAAATAAAATCATTGTGTGCACACAGGATGATTTTCATTACTGTATTAAAGTAATGAGAATGTTTTTATTTATTTATTTATTGCACATTAAGGTAATGAAAATAGAATAGGGGAGCCTAATTTTCATGCAATACAATTTAATGTCCTCAAAATTATTTAAAAAATATTTTCTTTATGCAACATTTTCTTTTTCTTCTTACTCTTTTTCTACATATGAACTGGTCTTTTCATGGTGAGGTTCACCCAAACATTTAAATATTTTATTATTGTGTCAAGCTTTATTCTTAACAGCAGGCATAAGAAATGCCACCAGAATGAGTCGAAGCTGAGCGAGTCAGCGAACAGCACACCTGTGAGGCACAGAAGTGAACATCCACCTACATCATCTGCTCAGTAAACAGCCACAAAGACAGTACAACACCCAGCCATTATGATGACAATACCCATATTCTGAACACAAGCATCACATTTGTTTCATCTATTCACTCTTACATACTTCCAGCATCATTTCATTAAGTCATACTTGAAGGAACGACTTTTCCATACATTATACAGGGCAATCACTGGAAAAGGGAAGGGGGCGGGGAGTTATTTATGATCTGATTATGATTATTTATTATGGGGACAACCATCTGTGCTCTCAATAATTACAGAATGATTTTAAAGGCATTTCTTGAGACGATATCCCCACTTTCCTCAAATTTCAACAGAAAAAGTGGCCAGCAAAACAAACAACAGTTAAGAGACTATAGCAAGACCTCTGCACTCCAAGCAACATGAATGACTGCATAAAATCAAACAGTAAATTACAGCTTTCCACTATGACAGTACTATTTGCTCTGAAGCATCAATCACAATCTGGAGTTTTTTTTTTCTTTTTTCTTGAAGGATGCAATAACTGACACAGCATTCTGGATGCATAACTGCAGGTTTTACGTGTCCTTCACAAAATGCATAGTTATTTGGGTCCTATAGTGAACTATGAAAATGCGATGCATATGCCTATGATTCCTAAAATGAAATCCGCAAGCACACAAATAGGCAGCACAGATTCTCTCCAACAGATGCGAGTTAGAAGAATCTACGAGCACCAGAGAATCTAATCAGGGCAGCAAAACATCAGATAGAAAGACAGACTGTTGATCATACAACACTCGTGCAAAATGTAATAAACTGCAAAAAAAATAAAAATCTATTCAATGTGATGTCTGGAGGTATGCGTGTTGAAAGTTGCACGCTATCAAGGACAGACTCAAAGATGCTTCATTCATTTGACACATGAAACGCACTTATAAATCCCACAGCAATGCTATTTTAAGAAACGATTTTATGGTTTCGATACACCTCATATCCTAACTGTATCCAAAGAGCCAACAGACCACAGAAAACCAACCTAAGGATTCATTTCGACCCGTGCAAATCAACGGAAACATACCCATCTCTGCATAAATATCACGTTTCCAGCAGGTTTTACAGCCCTTCGATGTGTGATTCCAGTTTCCGCATGGCACCGTCTTCAAACACACTCAGAAAGGAGCACCTGCCCAAAGCTGCGGTGCCCGAGATGTTGGCGAGCTTCGGAAAACTCCGGCAACAGCAGCGTTATTTCAATCCCGCAGTTGCGCCGCTGCGCAACACGTCCCAGTGAACAACGGAGAAATCAATCCTAAGAGCTCTTTCCAGCGTAAAATACAAACATTAAGGGTTTACTTAGCGAAGAGGTCCATAAAAGAACATTTCCAGAGAGTACGTGTGCGTATCAGCTATATCCTTCGCATCAAAATATCCTCCACTTGGTTGGTTGGAAAGTTTGGAGAGATTTGCGCAAAAGCGCACCATCGGATGTTCACAAAGGTGCGCAGCTATGAAGAAAGCCAAGCGAGGGATGTAAACATGTTTCTTATGTCCTGTAAAAAAAAAAAAACTGAGCTGTGCGCAGGATGAGTGATGTATTCCAGATATCTGCTGATCTCACAGAGCTGGTGCTGTAAGCCACATTCAGGGCGCTTTTCTTTCCCCGAACATCTGTCAAAAACAGAAGAAGTGTGCGAGTGTGATTGCACTCAGCACTGGTGCAGTCATTGCTTAACCTTCTTTTGCAAGTGCTATGCATCGGATTGCCCTCTTCTGGTGGGAAAAGGCGACATGCATCGCCCGTTCAGAGCATTTGCCCGTAAATAGTGAGGCTAAGTACTCTTGAGCGCGTCTTTGAAATGACGGCATAAAATATTAACATGCGATAATTGCATTTATAGGGCTAGGCATGATTCATTATGCCTTAGAGGCGTAAATGTAAGGTTTAAAAGTCCTTATAGCATTTATTCTGCAATGCTTCTTTTAAACAGATTAATTAATATTATTGCATATATCCACACACACACAATTTCAAATACCTGTTTTCTATATAAATATATTTTAAAATGTAATTTATTTCTATGATCACAGCTGAATTTTCAGCATCATTACTCCAGTCTTCAGTGTCATATCATTCTTCAGAAATCATTCTAATATGCTGATTTGCTGCTTAGTTATATAATCAGAAATAGCTTGCATTTTAAAATGTCAAAATTGAAAACTGATATATTATAATAATATTTCACAATATTACTGTTTTTACTGTATTTTTTATCTAATAAATGCAGACTTGGTGAGTATAGGAAGCTTCTTAAATTAAATTATATATATATATATATATATATATATATATATTACCAATTCCAAACTTTTGACCAGTAGTGAATATTTAATGTGTTTTTCCTGATTGTTCAAAAAAAAAAAAAAGCTGTCAAAAAGAAGAAGGAAAACATTTAAGTGCAGATGCCACTTGATTTGATATTTCATTATCCAATGCAATGACGTTCAGAAAGTTTCATTTGTGTCCAAATACGTTTTGTGGCCACTGTAGATTTAACCAAACTGCTGAGAGCATGAACAAGAATCAGGCTGGAAGGACGAAAACTATTGCCAAGCAACACTGAGAGCTTTAAACGTTGTGACATCAGCTTGCAAAACAGAGCAGAAGGTCTGGATTCACAAAGACTACCCAGCTGTAACACTAAAGGTATTTATCTGACAATCCTTCATTATAAAAACCCCTTTAGAAGCAAATAATTGACATGCAAGCAAGCTAAACATTGGGAAAGCATCTTTAAAGGGTTCAGTGGTTTACATAAACAGTTCATATCTGTTTGTAAGCCACTTTAAAAAACATCCCTCTCACCTTATGAAACAGTTCAAGAGAATTTGACCGCCTAATGTCATTCTGCATCAGGGTCAACACCATAATTTCCAAAGTGGCTGTTTGTATCTGTCCTGTACGGTCCATCTAATTAGAGATAATGGACACTTGCTTGAGCTCATATCTGTAATATGCTGCATTTGGCTCCAGAAAATACAGCTGGGAAGCACCAATCACGCCAATTCCAGCACTCAGCAACAGGCTGGACGGTGAGGGAATCTGTCCATCGCTATTGAGGATACAGATGATCAAGGACAATAAGGCAACAGCAGGTTCAGGTCTCGGTGGAACACAGTGTTTGTGTTGTGCGTCTGCTATTCATGCGTTCAGCCTCACAGAAGACCGATCTCAGTTGTGATGATGAGTTCAGGACACACTGTGATGCATCTGTTGATGCATGGAAAACAAATGCAAACAAGTGTCAAATCCACATCTTCATGGGTGGTATGCACAACTAGAGGTGTTTGAGAAGAACAAGAACATAATTTACAGCATTGGGATACAAATTAGTCTAAATAGCCTAAAATGAAAATTTGCTGAAAATGTATTCACCCTCAGGCCATCCAAGACGTAGATGAGTTTGTTTCTTCATAGGAATAGATTTAGAGAAATTTAGCATTCCATCACTTGCTCACCAAAGGATCCTCTGCAGTGAATGGGTGCCGTCAGAATGAGAGTCCAAACAGCTGATAAAAACATCACAATAA